AAAAAACAAAAGTTGTTTGATTAACTTTTAATCCATCTTTGTATTTGTTCAATAGTTGATTGTGTTCCTTTTGTCATTGTTTTTAAATCCATTTGAATTAACTAAAATCTTATATATTTAGAAAAAAAGAAACGCATAGAAAAGAAATAACAATTTGATTACTTCTGTATTTGGTGTTGCTTGTGACGCACCAATAGTTTTTCGATCATTTTGTACATTTAATAAATCATATGTAAAAAGAACTTTTGAATATATTTGTGTTTGATCTTGACTAATTATAGATGGATGAATTTCATGATCATTTGTCCACAAAAGACCATTACGTGGTGAATAACACTAAATTAATATTTTAATATTAATTAAAAGAAGAAAAAAAAAACAACCTACAATATTTGATTTTGATGGAATAACATAATCAAAATATTCTTTTCCACTAAGTAAAACAAGACGATGTTCATCAAAATAATTCCAATCAAATGATGCTAAACTAATTCTATAACGTTGAATTGGACCTAAAATTGATCATTTTATATTTTGAAAACAAACAAAAAAAGAAGAAAAGGTTTCATTTTAATATATATACATTGAAGAATTCGATGAACAAAAGTATCATTTTCATAATTATTAGTTGTTGATACTGACAAAACAAGAAATTTTGGAGAATCTCGAATACAATAACCAAGTTGAGATGATCTAAAATTATTTTATTTATAAAACAAAGAAAAAGAACTCAAATAATAAAAATATGAACCCTGTTCGACTCCATGCAAGTTTAACAATTGGTTCGTGTTCTTCACGAACAATAAGTGGTTTTTCAGTTGAACGACTATCATATACATAAACGGTTTTCTACAAAGATTTTACTTTTTTTTTTTAAATTATTTTTCTTTTTAAAATAAAATCAAAAGTAACATACATCAATACTTGCAGCTATATATCGTTCACTTGTATCACAGCATAAATTAAATGGAGCTTTTGTTGGAAATGAAGTTACAACAGATGCTGAAACTATATCAAATAAAATATTTTAAATGAAAAATAAAACTCATTTTATTTAT